TATTAAAGTTTTTCTTCGTTACCCATTCAAGCCGTCTCCAAGTATTATTAGTCTCAAAGTGGGTTCCTCGTCATCGAAATTAAAATATTGCATAGGATTACCTTTTGAATAATTTCTTTGATAAGGTCATAAATTAATTTGGACATCATTTGGTAATCTCATCAGTTAATAAACCGAGATTTCAAGGAAACAACAGTAAACTGTGGTTAATAAATATGAACGTGATTTATTTTACACGAGCTCTTGATCATCGGGTAAAGGACTTTAAAAAATCACACTTATTACGCTAAAAATCGAGTTTTGACACCCGCTGTGGGCAGAGCAGAGATAGACAATTGTGTAGCTTTGCGCATAACAATAAACAAATCTAACAGTAAAATGTGATTTTATGAGGAATTTTTCCAAAAACTAAAGCTACTCATGAAAAGGATTTAAATATTTTTCTTGATCAACAAACTAAACAGTATTTATGTTTGGGGCAGATTTCAAGTTTCATATGTTTGTTTTTAATTATGCACAAAGGGCTATTTGTGCTCTCCCCACCACGGGTATCGAAACCCATTTGTAATGTTGTAAGTCCGCAGACATGGCGTTGTGCCACTGGGGGGGGGGGGGAGAGTTTGTGATTTATTTGATTAATAATTGTTGTGGCAAAATGTCAGAGTTTATAGTAAAATGGTCCAAGAGATAGCCCCATTTTGTAGTTTTGCCCTAAATCAACAATAAAATAAATAGATTAATATAAATTTTAGTACATACTACTCTATTGTACATAACTTAAGCCTATCATAAATAATAATAATATAGAAGTTGGCACGGTTAAGTAATCTTGAACCGGGTACCTCTGTGAAAATACTCGGGACCCCAAGTACAGCAATAATAATAAAATAACTTTCATTAAATTAATCACAAATATTAATAATTCCAGTGCATAATATATTATAATACAAAATTAAGTCGTTGATCTGTACGTTTCATTTAAAGAATGATTAACATAGATGTTGTTCGTAATTATTTTTCTTTCTCCAATTAGCAATACCTTCTTTCTGAAGAAGTTGTACCTGTTCTGTTGTGTTTGTTGTACCTGTTTTGTTGTGTGTGTTGTTTTTTTCATTGTAGTTTATTAATCTAAGTTATCAAAAGACATTGTTTAGAGTTTTGAATCTATTTTCTTAGGCACACTTCTCACAAAATATTTGATTTTCAAACAATTTATTTTAGCTTATTTTTGTTAGTAACCACTAGGTAACGTATGTTTATTATTAGTGGACAACAGACGTAGTACCCACATAAACCCAGCAGGAAATTACGTAGTTTCATTTTTTGTTTACTTCCTGAGTGTACTCGCCTCCATTATTATTGTGGTGTTCTCGCCAACGTGTTTTATGTTATATTGTTGATTTACTTCCTGAGAACAAGAGTGTAGTCGCCTCCATTATTACTGTGGTGTTCTCGCCAACGTGTTTTATGTTATATTGTTGATTTACTTCCTGAGAACAAGAGTGTACTCGCCTCCATTATTATTGTGGTGTACTCGCCAACGTGTTTTATGTTTTATTGTTGATTTACTTCCTGAGAACAAGAGTGTACTCGCCCCTGGGTGTTATTGTTTTATGTAAAACCTTGATACCGAGTTATTTAAGAGCCCCGAGTATTAATGCCGAGGCCCCGCCGTGGATCAGCAGAAAGTCTGAGGGCTTATAACAATAAAAATGAGGTTTCAAAATCCCCGGTGGTGACAGCACAGATCGCCCATGGTGTAGCTTTGTGCTTAATAAGAAACAGACAAGCCTGTTTCAACCTCGTTTTTATTACG